CTGGGATCATGACCTGAGCCGAAGACAGACACTTAACCCGCTGAGCCACCCAGGCGCTCCTTCCTTTCCATTTTTAATACATTTGCCAATCCAAGGCAAATGTGAAAATTCTTTTACTCTCAGGAATAGGCTGTAGTGTGAGGTGCCGAGTTGAAAATTATATTCTCGATCAGCCTCAGCAACTTCAAAATGTGGTTTATATAAATGTCCTTAAGACACACAAGTGAAGTCATTCCATTAGCTCCAGGAATGCAGTGACCAGGATACTTGACTTGGGCCAACCTCAACAGGGCCAGAGTGCAAACCTCCCTCGCCATGCTTCCCAAAGGGCCTGGCACACACTCAGCTTCTTGAAGCTGGGGTCAGACACAGAAAAAGTAATTTTCTCAGGAACCAAAAATTGTGGAGGGTTTTGCCCACCCTCCAAAGGCTGCTAAATACTTATCTCACAGCAAAGGAAAAAGAGAACTCTAATCCTTTCTCTAAGTACAGGATTCTGGGGCAGATGCCTGAATAGCTCTACCTTCTCTACCGTTTTAAACTCTTGAGACAGTAAAATGATCCATGTAAAATGCCTGGCACATGGGAAATGCTATATTAGACATGATTCATCATTAGCTATTTCTGCCATTTCAGTCTGATTGTCCAATACCTACTGTTCTTCCAAGTCATTCTGGATTCAACTACTGTCTTTACGTTAAGTAATGGTCATTCCAGCATTCTCCTCATTCACAGATGCTGAGAGCATCAGAACCCTAAACTAGTTCAGAATGTCAGCTGTCACTATAAGATTTTTACACTGAGATTATGTATTTCAGAAGCCAAACATCACTTACCCTACATTCTTCTAACATACGTAATGATGTAGGCTCTCTGCCATTCAGGTTGATAGAAATGTTCAAGTGCTTTTTTTTTTTAAAGTAAGATTTTATTTATTTGACACAGAGAGAGACACAAATAGGCAGAGCGACAGGCAGAGGGAGAGGGGGAAGCAGGCTCTCTGCTGAGCAGGGAGCCTGCTGTGGGGCTCGATCCCAGGATCCTGGGACCATGAACCGAGCCAAAGGCAGCTGCTCAACCGGCTGAGCCACCCAAGTGCCCCTGTTCAAGTGCTTCTAAAAGGTGGCTTCAACAAATACTCTTGTGAAGATCGATAAGTCATCTAGTCACATTTCTGGTCCTATTTTTAAAATCTGGCTTCTGGGGCACCTGGCCAGTTTAGTCGGAACATGTGACTCATTCTCTTGGGGTTTTGAGTTTGAGCCCTACATGGGGTATAAAGATTACTTAAATAAACTTAAAAAATAAAATCCTGGCTTCTAATTTCTAGAATAGGGTTATTTTTCCTAGGACATGATGTGAAGTTGGAAACACCAAAAGGCCTATGACACAATCAAGATTTTTTTTAAGTAATCTCTACATTCAACCTTGGGCTCAAACTTACAACCCCAAGATCAAGTCACATGCTCTACCCACTAAGCCAGTCAGGTGCTCCACCGAACATGGGGCTTAACTCCTGCCCTGAAATCAGAAATTGAATGTGAACCAGCCAAGAGCCCCTCAAGATTGTTTTAAAGATATCCAGGGACACCTGGGGGACTCAGTCAGTTAAGGATCCGTCTTCAGTTCAGGTCACAGTGCCAGGGTCCTGGGACAAAACCCCATGTAAGGCTCCCTGCTCAGCTGGGGAGCCTCCTTCTCCCTCTGCCTGCCACTTCCCCGTCCTGTGCTCTCTTCTCCCTCTGACACATCTTTTAAAAAAAACAACCCAAAGCTAAGGGCAAAATATGCTGTAGCAGCAGCAGGCAAAGAGGGTATAATCAGATCTCTTATCACCTTGACCTCTTCAAAGTCATGAGAGGTATTGCACTGCCACCCCAAAGATCTTGATTTGAATGTGCCAGCCCTTTACAACCAACTCCAGTGTGGCTATGGGGAGGTAGTGGTGAGCTGGGGTTTGTCTGTCTTTGTGGTCTTTTAGTCATGGATCACTGAAAGGATTAAAATAAAAACAGTAGTTTTGTGTGTAACAAAGAAGAGATTAATCACGCTTCTTTTGTATGATTCTGGGAAACAAACGTATGCTCAAAATCAGTTTATATAGCTTCTCCAACTCCTCTGGCCTGCTGCATTCAAAACACCTCCCAGACCCTTACTACTGCTGGCAAGGTACTTGAAAGAAAGCTGGACCCAACACAGGAAAGGCTTTTTCTACACGTTTTACAGGTGTTCTATTTCACTGTACCCCATAACCTGGCTTTTTCCCTGAGACATATTTGGACACAGCGGACCTTGGGAGTCAGGAGGCCTCCCCCTTGACCAGCCTGACAAAAACCTACCTACCAGCCTTTGCCCCTGCCCTAGTACTATGCCATGCTGAAGCAGTTTTGGATCTACTAAGCATAAACCAAATTAGAGCACTGAGTCTCCTTACAGCTCCGAAGGTATGCTAAGCCTTGAGGTAGGGCACTCAGCGGTGTCTGGCATTCCCAATGGCTTTCACTGAACCTTTCACTTAGGTCTTCGTGACTCCAGAGCAAGCACTCTTTAACTCTCCTTTCTATCACAATTCTGGTCTTTGACTTCCACCAACGGGCCCTGGACCTGCTGGCAGCTACAGCTTACCGTTGCACTAGGAAATGTCCGCTAATCATCTTTGAAGAACACAACTGGTACTGTCCATAGAAGCCTAAATGGACTTTCCCCAATGACAATACTCTGGGGATGGGTAAGGCTATCTCCAGAGGGACTGCCAAGGGGTCTAAGTAGCAAAATGAGCCGCATGTTGCATTATTAGTACCCTTTCAGGGAAAGAAAACTCAACAGCCCATCTACTCATCCCAAACCTGTTGAGGATACAAACTACTTGAACAAGTAAACTTCAGCCATGAGATCTAGAGAACTGATGGGTACCAGAGGGGAGTCGGGTGGGGGGATTGGTAAAATTGGTGAAGGGGGCTGAGAGTACACATTCTGAGGAGCACTGAGTAATGTACAGAACTACTCAAACACTAAATTGTACACCTGAAACTAATACAAACACTGTATGTTAACTATATTGGAATTAAAACAAAACCTTCAGCCATGAGAATTTGTGTTTTGCCTTAAAGAAAAAGAAGACATGGACTCTTCCCCAGCATTTACTATCTATCTCTTTTACCCTCTGGGAGAGAGATTCTGGTCCAGCTATGACAGGAATCACACATCTAGGGTTTTCTGCTCAGTCCTCTTACTCTTCATTACCACTGATCTCTGCGAGTTCAACTTTTAAACAAATTTCTGTATTACAAATACTCATAATCCATATTTTCTTTCCCTTGAATTTAGACACCAGCTGAAAAACACTAACATATTTATAGGACAGCACTAGGACTGCAACAGTGCCATTTCAGCAACACCCCATTTTTGTCTAGATGGTAGTATCTGTATATACAGAATAAAAAGGAAAAATATAATATACTCATAGTCCTAAGACATAAGCTTAAACAAAAATTGAAACAAGAATGGAGATCATCAGGAATGCCCAAAATAATACACCCATAACCTTCATAAAACAAACGTACAACTGTGAAGGGAAAAAACCCAAGTTAATCAGAAGAGTTTACAAAACCCAGAAATATGTCAAAGAATGTGAGAACAGATGAAGGCTTAAAAAAAAAAAAAAAAAGTTGTAGCTCATGGGAACAGAATCCACTACAAAGCAAACAAGTCCATCACTAAACTTTAAGGCCTATTTCTAGGAACACATTACGGCTTTTTGAAAACTAAGGGACTACATATTGTACAGGATAAAACTCCCTGTTGAAACAGTCACTGGGTATATTTTATTTACCAGAAACTACAACCACCACCAATCACCACAAAGGTCAGTATTCCTAAATTTGTAGCTGGTATACTGAAAAAGTGAGTCTTAAATCTAAATTAAAATTATTTGGGAAACTTAAAAACACCTATGCCTGGATATGCCTTCAATTTAAATCAGAATCTCTGTGGGCATCAACGCTAAGAAACACTGAAATTACCAGCTTTATCCTACTAATCTAAAGCTAAGTCTTTCTGAAAAATATTAACTATGCTTGCATTTAAAACATTTACTGCAACCAAGAAAAGGAAAGAAGTCACCTACTTTTGCTAAGAATATTCCGTCTAAGAAATGAGCACACCATCTACCATTTCATTTTACCCTTCGAAGTTCCAAAGCAACTTCTCCAAGTTATCAGTATGGAAATCTCAAAGCCCTCATTTTCAGTTGATGTCTGATTTTTTTTTTTTTAAAGAAAAGCTTTTTAAAAAGTAATTATAAAAATTATCTTTTAATCTGCTACTAATTGAGAAATCAGCAACAGCAATTATCTATTTTTAAAGGGAAATTACTATACTTAACCAAAGCATTTTTTTTTTATACTTACTTCATTATCAAGTAGGTTATTAACACTTTCTGGTTGAGAAGGCTAAAGCTCACTCACTCCGTACAATTAGAAACTTAGTTCAAATTCTGGAAACTGTTCTAAACCCAAGCCATTTTGGCCACAACCCTTTTCTGCTAACCACAAGAATTAGAGAATTTGTACACCTGAAGGATAGTACCACATGTTGATTAGAAGAAAGGCATTTTCAAATCAGTTCTGTTACCACTAGACCTGAAAAACAGCTGCTTGGTATCTAGATCACTTGGACCCTGGGTTAAAACTACTCACACCGATGTATTTGTTCAAAAAGAAGGGCATAAAATGAGAAAGCAGAAACACAAATAGATATTTCTTACGAAAGCATAAAATAAAATGGAATGGAGACATGTAGAAAAACAGTGTTTTTTGCTTTGGACCATCAACTCCACAAGCCACCAAAAATACTGTCAGTTAGGTCCGAGGAGAGATAAAAAGAAAAAGACCTTTTTTTTTTTTTTTTTTTTTTAAATAAGCGTGTGTGTACGTTGAGTTATTTTCCTAAAGCATCTTAGATATGAAAAAACTTCCTTATCAGTTCCAAATTCAACACAATACAAAGCAAAGGAACTTTTATTACTACATTCACACAAGTAATGATTAAGTGCCCTGAAGTTTACCCTGATAGCTGAAGATTACCAAATATTAGTTTCCACAGAAGAACTGTTTTAACTTTCTAATCCTATTCAAAGGAGAAAAGGGTGGGAGGAAACTCAGTAAGTGCTTAGCACTGCCACTTCATTTCAAATGCCATTTTTGTCCTTGGGTGAATGCATATTACACCAAACCATGATCTAGCAATAGTTTTCTATTTGGTTTAACTAGTAGCACTTAAAGAGCTTAATACAGGACAATACTTTTAACAGCTTTTTTATCGGAGACAAAGTTAACTCTAAGATAACATGACAAGCAATATACAAAATCTGTCCATCATTTTTTTGAGTCCATCTAACATACATAGCAATATGGTATTTATAACCAGAAACTGCACTGACTGAGAAGTAGACACATTAGTTTTTCAAGCTCTACCTGAAAACATGATGTTTTATTAAAAGAAAAACCAAAACACTTAAATCTCAAGTTCTATGGTTTTATAGTCCAGTCTTACTGAAGTTGCAGATTTCCTTTCTTGCAGACAAGGTAATAGGTAGGAAGAACCCCACAAAGAGCACGCTGGCTCTCTGACAAATTGTACTATCTGGATTACAAATAAGTCTTGAAAATCTTCTGAAGAATGTCAAGGAGTTGCCAGAGAGATTATATAGTGACCTTGATTTTATTTTTCTTCACCTAGAATTCTATAAATTCTAAAATTTATCAATTGATGTATCTTTTAAATAAACAGCACCAGTCTTGCCCATTAATACAATTAAATTTTGACTTTCTCAGTTCTTAGTTCACAAGTTTATTATGAAAAACACTGCAGTGCTCTTGTGCAGTAACATCGTCTTATAGGAGGGGGGAAAAACAGTTCTGTTCAAAACAACTCACCAGGTTCTGACAATAACAAAGAACAACATGAGGCTGAGATTTGAGAAGGGAAATAAACTGAGTGCAGACAAATCATACAATTAAATTAAACAGTATCCCTGAAAATAAACAAAACGATTTCAAAACTCACGAGTAGAGGGGGGGCCTTGGTACTTATTTTTAAAAATGTTCATTAAGCTCCAATGATTGTTTGCTGCTATCCTTATCTACAGTCATGCTGAGTAAAGCTATAGCTAAATGGAAGTTAAATTGTATTCACGAGGTGTTAATGTTTACATCTTATTATCTGCAGTCTCTCAGAGAAAGCAAAAGTAACTACAAATAGCGCTATGCCAGAAACTGGTTTCTTGACCAACAATGTCGCTTCAGCATGCAATGAACTGGTTCATTCTAAAGTGGTCACGGCTGTTGATGACAAAAGGCTTTGTATTTTTATATGGCACATCTTTTGGTCCGTGTGAAAACAAGTTTTTTTTTGAATGTTAACTATTCTCTGACACTTTGGAGTTACTGTTGCTCTTCCCATTTCCATTAGGTCAATTTATGGTTCATGGCAATACTGTACAAGTTTAAAATTTCATTACAGGAAGTAGTCTGGGGTACGACGAGTAACATGTGGCTCGCCTCTGCGAGGTGCTGGGTCGAATTGCAAGCTGAAACACAAAACATATTTTTTGTTTATACTCCATGTATCAGTGTACTGACAATCAAGAACATTGTTCTTTCAAACTTTACAATTTTGCCTATACAATTTCAGCTTGCCTTTAATGGAACAGAATCCTATTTGTAGCCTAATCATCCAGTCTTCTAGCTGCGTGCCTCCTCAGAGCCAAGGCAAACTTCAGATAATTTTTCAAGACAGAAATTTTATACATCAGGATTCCTTCTAAGATTATTTGAAAGAAGCGTTCTACCAAATAAATAAAATTTAAAGAGTCTAATGTACTTGTATTCTCAACCCCAGGATATATTTTATTAACCCCACAATAAAAACATGTGTTTAGAAGATAAAATCCTAATAATTCACACAGGGGGCTATATAGAACAAGTTTTTATTGATGAATTTCAACATATCCTAAGTCTGTGCAAAAGGAAACACGGGGGCACCCGGGTGGCTCAGTCAGTTAAGCATCCGACTCTTGGTTTCAGCTTAGATCATGATCTCAGGGTCATGAAACTGAACCCCACACTGGGCTCTGTGCTCAGCATGGAGTCTGCCTGAGATTCTCTCCCTCTTCCTCTGCCCTCCCCACACTCATGCTCTCTAATAAAATCTAAAAACAACAACAACATGGAAATATAAAAATCAAACTGGAATCTGGATATAGCATGAGCCCTTCAACTCTTAAAACTTCCCATTCCAGCTATACAGTGTGACTCAACTGCAATAGCAGCCAACTACTTAGTGTAAATACTTACAAAGAGTATTTTAGAGTATCATCAAGTTCCATGATTGCAGCTTGATTACCACAACGATAACAATAGTTTGGAGCACTGAAAATCGTTACTACATTTCGGTCGTGGCACCAGTTATATCCCTACAAGGAAAAGAAAGGAGATAAAAACCTGTTTTACTCCCTTATTTACACAACTAAATGTGACTCAAAAAAAGCCCCTTCCAAAAGGCTTAAAAACTATTAATGTTTTGTTTCTGTATATTTTAATAATTTTCTACTCTGTTCAACTTAAAAAAAAATACATGAATTTTTCCTGAATTACAAAACTAGCTTATTATAAATAGAAAAGACACTAAAAAACACCAATCACCAAAGAATAAAGTGCTTCTTCTACATCTGGCATTCTGTGAATAGCAGTATCTCATCAGCTTCCCACTGCAGTGGCCCTGAATATAATCCAAGAATGAGTATACAGGCATTCCTTGCAGACGCAGATAAAATACTCAAGACCAAAACCACATTAATTCTCTCAGTCAGAGATGAAGGTCCCCAAGTCAATCACTGCCTCGGTACCAAGAAAATAGGCCTCTAGGTCTCCAGCCTCATTCTAAGTTCATGTGAATACACGAGTTACTTTTTAAGTACTGTACACAAATACTGTTCCCTATCTTTAACAAAGTCATACTTTTTATAATAATCACAATTGTTATTAGTATTAATCTAAATAGGACCCTAATTTTTCAAGTATGCTAATCAACATCTCATTTCCCTTTCAGTTTCTTCTTTAAAAATTACCTATAATCCTACCATTCAAAGGACCACTGAAACATTCTGGTATTTCATCTCAATCTCTCTTCCATACATACACATGTTAAACACATGAAATAAACAAAACTGAGATAAAAAATGTTACAATGCCTCTCCCCTGTTCCCTGAACCTTATTCTCCCAGGCTTAAATCCAAAGCACTACCCAGTCATTAGGAATTCTCTGAAAAACACGTCAACTATTAAAACTCATTATGATCAAAAGCTTGAGATTTTAATTTTAATGTGCACCTACTGTAAAGGCTCAGGCTACAACAGGAAATTCACTGGAAGGGATAAATTAATCCTCATTAATATCATTAATTAGCACCCCCTACCAGAAAAACACTTCCTAGTATCTTCCTTCATTACATTTATTTAAAAAGCAAATCAGATTTCAGAGATAAGAACATACCTCCATCACCAGCTGGTGAGCTCTGGACACCAAGGTGAGGCCATTGGCATGATTAAATGTTTCAGAAATGTCTTGCCCAAAGGTGTAACCAGCTCCTCGAGGAGATATACCCCAACCACCACGATCATCTGGATCTGACCACAGCAAGTCACACATTGGACCCTAAAAAGCAAGTTAAGTTTTAAAGTGCCTCTTACAAAAATGATTTTTGAGTATTTCATCAGAGGGAGCACCCTATGAAGTCACACTTTGAGTGGTATTTGCTAAACAAAGTTTAAGGTTTGCTTTAAAGTCAAGTATCTCGTCAAATAAACTAATTCCAAATGTTTTTAAAGGCATATCGGGGCGCCTGGGTGGCTCAGTCAGTTGAGTGGCTAACTTTGGCTCAAGTCATGATCCTGGGATCCTGGGATCAAGCCCCATGTCGGGCTCCCAACTCAGCGGGAAGTCTGTCTCTTCCTCTGCCCCTCACTCTGCTCCTGCTCTCCCTTTCTGTCAAATAAAAAAAATCTTAAAAAAAAAAAAAAAAGATATATCCTAGATCAATTAGCCCCAAGAGCAGTAAGTACTATAGTATGCAAAATTCAGTGTCAGACAATATAGACAAGTACTTAAGGCAGAGGCTCTGAAGACAACAACAGAGATTCTAGGCCCAGTCCCAAAGGTGTTATGATCTTGACAAGTTTCTTAATACCAGCTTCTAAAGAAAGAGGTTGTTGATAAGAGTGTTCATACCACACGGGGTCATTTTTGAGCATTAAAGGAGAGAACACATATAAGTAAGTTAGTTACGGGGGCGCCTGGGTGGTTCAGTGGGTTAAAACCTTTGCTTTCAGCTCAGGTCATGATCCCGGGGTCCTGGGATTAAGCCCAGCATCGGGCTCTCTGCTCAGCGGGGAGCCTGCTTCCCCCCCACCCCCTGCCTGCCTCTCTGTCTACTTGTGATCTCTGTCAAGTGAATAAATAAATCTTAAAAAAAAAAAAAGTTACAATAAAATTTTTTCCTCTAAAAGGTTTTCTGAAAAGATCTCATTACCAAATAAAAAAGTCAATACCTCATTAAAAAAAAAAAAAGTCAATATACCTCATGAGGAACTTCTTGTAGGCGATCAAGTGCTCTGATGTGATCCAGTGTATCTATGGATGGTGAGAGGCCACCATGTAGACAGAATATCTGGAAAGAGTGGTTTATTATAATGTTAACCTCACATAGAAGAAACTTTAAACATTCTGGACTGAACTGCAAGCAGCAGCCCACATCACTTGGTGTGACTTGTGTTTCTATATTCTACCAGAACCAGGCTTGTCTCGGCAGGGGCTGTCTTTCTTCCAACCAACTCTAACCTAGTGAATACACTCCCTTTCTCCCAGATAACATTTCTCTCATCTTAATCTCAGCATAAACTATCATCTTTCTCACAGAATTTTCTTGCCATGTCTTCTGAATACTCTTCTACGTGGACTAGTAAATAGCTAATTACAGCTCTAAGACTCATCCAGAAACAACCTGAGAGGATGGATGGGCTACATCTTCCATCCCTGTTGTCCCGATATACAGTTCAGTGCTTAATACAAAGGCGGCACTTTAGAAGTCTAGAAGAGAAGTGTGGGTGGAAAAAAGAGTGGCACCTAAACATTAGGAGAGCAGATTCATGAAAATAACCAGCAATATAAGTTTTAGGAAGGTCTACATACCTGCCCATCCACCAAGGCAGTGAGAGGAAGATAGTCAAAAAGATCTGTAAAATATTTCCAAACATTTGCATTTCCGTATTTCCTTAAACACTCATCATAGAAACCATATACTTGTGTGATCTGTCTGCTCTCATGATTTCCTCGAAGAATGGTGATGCGCTCACGGTAACGAACCTGAAACAACAAAATAGAAAACAATATGAATAGATGGCTCCTTCAAAGACTAAATGATAATTCAGCAAACTTTCTACAGGAAAAGCCAGAGTTCCAATTTTGGTGGTGGGGGGGAAAATCCCATGCCCCCAAACACTGAAATGAAATCCCACATCTACAGACATCTGTCCATGGAGAACTGGCAAACCCCATCTCAACTACAATCAAACTCCTACTACTACCAACTTTACACTAAGCATAATCATCAGCCACAGAACTCCATGAAATTTTTTCTACAGTTAGATGACTTTGAGTAAATGTCTAGGTATGCAATAACCATCATAATTACTTTAGAACCTTTCCATCAGTCCCAAACTATCCCCTGTGGGGGCTGTCCCAACTCCTACTCCCAGCAACCATTTATTTGTCTTTTCCATATTTCCTTAAACACTCATCATAGAAACTCTATATTTGTGTGATGCGTGGTCTCGTGATTTCCTCTTTTGAGATCTTTTTGTAAAATTTCATATAAATGGATTAGCACAAGATACAGTTTTTCGTGTGTCTGGCTTTATTCACTTAGAATATTTCTGGGGTTCATCTGAATATGTAACAGTGGATCCTTGCTATTGTTCCTTTTTAGTGCTGCACAGTATCCTGTTGAATGGCTATACCACATTTTTTTTCTTTATTCACCAGCAGGAGGAACACCTGAATGGCTTAAAGGTTTTGAGTATTATGAATATGTTGCTATGGTCATCTTCCTATAAGTTTCTGTAGAGACAAACAATACACTTTCACTTCCCTTGGGTATATTCCTAGTCCAATATAACTGCGGGGTATAAACATGGGCATAATGTTTTAATCTCTCCACAAACTAACACTTGGTATTATCAGCCTTACTAATGATAGTCTTTCTAATAGGTATGACTGTGACTTTAATTTGCATTTCCATGATAATTAATGATTTTGAGCATCTTTTCATGTGCTTATTGACTATTCATGTATCTTCTTGGATGAAATACCTCTTCAAGTATTTTGTCCATTTTTAATGTCTTCTTACTGAATTATAAATAGATTTTTATTATATGAACACAAGTACTTTTTTCTTAGTGATATACTTTGAGAAACAAAAAATCTTAATTTTGATGAAGTCCAATATAACAATCTTCTCAATGGATTGTGCTTTTCATATATCTTAGAAATCACTGCCTAACCCAGAGTTACAAATATTTTCTCCTATGCTTTATTCTATACGTTTCATAGCTTTAGCTTTTACATTTAGGCCTCTGATTTTGATCCATTTGTATGGTATGAGGTATCTTAAGTCCATTTTTTTGTATACGGATATCCAACCGTCCTAGCACTACTTACTGAAGTTTCCTTCCCCCATTCCCCCCTATTAGTGTGTAAGGGCTGCCACAGATAAAGTAGAACAAATGGGCAGTTCAAACAACAAAAATTAATTTCCTCACAGTTCTTGAGCCTGGAAGTCCAGATCAAAGTGTGAGCAGGGTTAGTTTCTTCTGAAGGCTTGTCTCCTTGGCTAACAAAAGGTCATCTTCTCCATGTTTCTTATCATCTTCCCTCTGTACCTGCGTCCTAATGTCTTCTTATAGGGACACCAGTCATATGGAATTAGGGCTCACCCGAATTACTTCATTTTACCTCAATTACCTGTTACAGGCCCTATCACCAAATACAGCCACATTCTAGAGGTACTGGGGGTTAAGACTTCAACATATGAATACGGGGAGGTATGTGCAGCTCAATTCAGCCCCATAACCTTTAAATATAAATTCTTAAAGGCAGCATATTCATTCTTCTGCTAATCATTGGGATTCATCCTGGGCTTTAAGTACAAATTAGCTTGCAAGGTTGTTTTCATAATATCCAGAGAAACTTACTTTCCATCATTTAATCCAACTGCTTCGTTTGCAGATGCAGAACTTAGAATTGCCTCCAAAAATGTTTTGTAGCATGTTACACGATTCAGACTAGTAGCTTCATGAACATATACATTACATATTACCTAAAATTCAGCTCTTGCCAAAACCACATCTTACCAATTCTGCAGTATTAGAGGTTTCTGGCAGCCCATTTATCATTGTGAACATTCTTTAATAAAATCTCCCCCAAAGGTAAAATCACTTTCTTTCCAAGGAAACGCAGAAGCCTGCCATTCTAAAAACTAGTGACCACTACTGTGTCTCATTTTCAGATCTTCGTACAATCTCTACAGCTATGATTGGTATAAAGCAACTTGCTTTAATTATCATTCCTATTGTTCTAGGCTGTCAAGTTTTAAAGGCTGCCAACTATTCCAGAGAGAAATCATAATTTAGATATTCACTTTTGTTGGATATTTAGATCAATTCTTTTTCTAGTATTAAACATAATGCTGAAATTAGTATTTTCACACAAATAAAGCTCTTTTCTTCTTTCTTCTTGAATTTCTTCTTCAGTAAAAATCTAATTATAGGATTACTGTGCCCTAAGATGTAAACATCCTGACATTTAGTATCTTTTATTTCAAAAGCACCTAGAAAGGTAATTATACAACCTCCCCATCCCGATTAAATGAAGAAACATTTTTATTGGACCAGCCTTCTAACATTTCTCAAGTAACTTGAATAAGAATAACCTTTTAACTTTCATTCAGAATGAAGACAGGCATATAATTTTTAAGTCCCAAACCTGAATACTGCATTCCTAAATATGGAATTTTATTCTAAAACGTAACATTCAGAGAAAAATCACAAATCACACATCAAAACTGGGAGGGGAAAAAAAAAGAAGAAGAAAAAAAAAAAAGAAAACCCAGTACAAAATGACCCCAAACAAAATCGAAATTACCTTAAGAGCTACAAGCAGAGTAACTGTTTCAACTGAATAATATCCTCTGTCAACATAATCTCCCATAAACAAGTAGTTTGTATCTGGTGATTTGCCACCAATTCTAAACAGTTCCATGAGATCATGAAATTGCCCATGTACATCTCCACAGACGGTGACTGGACATCGAACCTCCTGCACATTGGATTCTTTTGTCAGGATTTCTTTAGCCTACAGATGGAGATAAAATAAACCAATACATTTGGTATTAAACAACATTTAAAAAGATGTTTACTTAAACATAACATAGATTGAAGAGCAGACTTAGTGTAAGATGAAATTGTAGGCATCGACAGTTCCATTAAAGAGAACAAAATATGGGTAGATTCCATCTACTGGTTATGTCACTCTTGATACTTAGAAAAAACATGTGTCAAGATGTATAGTTCCATTCCTCTAATCACTATCAGTTTTTAGGCCTATCAGTTACCATCTAACTAAATGCTAAATAGTTCATTATGAGCAGCCATATAAGAATAATGAAAATGGTACAAGACATGCAGATACCTAGTTCCTTAGCTTTAAACTTCTACTTATAATATGCTGGCACTCCAGTATTCCAAGATATGAAGAAAGGTTTCTAATTTCTGCTTAACTGGTTTTTTTTTGGGGGGGGGGGGGGACAACACATAAAAATTTCACCTGTATTTTTATAATTTTAATGCTAAAAATACAAACTTTTTGTTTCACAACTGTAACTACTCAATATACATGGTTTTTATAAAGTTGTCTGGTAGTATAAGCATTCCCTCATATAATCACAAATCCAAACATTACTTTTTAAGGGCAGCGTAACATTTCACTCAATCAAAAGCTTATCAGTCATTCAGCACGCATTTACTGATCATTTACCTTACCCCCAAAACCAAAGTGCACTGGAGAACACCATTCACTTGCTCATCATCTGAGTGATAACAATGTTCCAGGCCTTGTGCTAGCCACTGGGGGACCAGAGCATACAAGATGGGTCACTGGGGACAGGGGACCACAAACAAGAAACCAAGCAACAAAGTACAGGCTACGTTAAGTGATAAAAGGAACAAAGTAAATGGTGGAGACCCATTTAAATAAGATATCACAATGAACAAGAGAGCCCATAAAAGCACAGTGCAGCACCAGCAGCAGACAATAAAATGATCAGGTCAAGTGCTAAGACAAGCTAGAGTAAGCAGAGTGTTTCAGGATCACAAAATGGGACAGCTAGGAAAACTGCCTCAGGTCAAAGAATGGGTGGGAGTCGATTATAGGAAGGGAATGCCAGTAGGAAATGGGAGGAGGTGCAACATAGGCAAAGTGTGATCATGTGTATACATTCTCAGGAAGAAGAAAAGGTCTACATGGCTGAAGCATACCACTTAAGAGTAGAGAAAAGGGTCTACTGGGGTAGGTTCAGGGTGAACCAGCTCTCCTGGATTTTACTGCTCAAAGTCTGGCATCCTAAGAAATATCTCAGTTGTGTTCAAGTAAACCAATGATAGCTGGTCACTCCAGGGAGGAAATGAGGAGGAGTACAGGGCATGGACACGGACTGAAGAACAAGTCTAATCAAAGCACTATTAGAAGAAAGATACCCTAGTGGAAAACTTGATGAATGAATTTAAGATTTCAGAGGTAGGGCTATACATGTGGATATCTGAGACAGAGTAGAGCTTAAAGGCCACTAGTATTCAGTGACCAATCCACCAACAAATCTTGCCTAGTCTCCCTCCAAAACATATCTCAAATCATTCTGTTTTTATCTTTTTTGCTACTACCCCGGTCCAAGCCACCACTACCTCACCTGTATTACTATGCTAGTCTCCATACTGAACTCCCTGCTTCCATTCTTCCTGCCTCCTATTTTCCACCTAAATGTCCAAGTTAAGAGCTAAAAAACTGTTCACCAGGTTCCTTTAATTCACCACCTCATACACAACACCTCAGTAGGGCAATGTGTTAGATATAAAAGGCATTTAATATCTGTTTGCTGAATGAATCTAGAACTTATTTATATGGTGGTACTGGTTAAATCATCTTCAGGGAAAGCCATGGATGTCTCTCAGGACAACATCAACGTACAGGCCTGGAATCTGATACCAAGTTCTCTGGAGAATGAAGAAATAACAGGTAACAGTAATAAGGAAAGGTGCCTGGATATCCAGGTAGATAAAAGAAGCCCAAAAAACAGGGAATTTTATCCTAGAGGAAGGCAGCATCCATCTACCTAGGAGCGCTATTAGAGAAAGTATAGGACTTCCTCAGGAAGAGTCAGATTTCAGTTAAGCCGACAAGGTGAAAGAAATTTGTTCTGAAAATTACTTAAAAGTATTTACTTCATACACTCTACATTTATCGAGCATTTTCTTCTATGTGCAGCTAGCATTATGAAATGGTGTTCTAGAATGTACAGTGAGAGACTGTATCAGGGGAAGGAAACACACTAGAACATGGAGGTGAAACTGCTACAGCAAATTGTTGCTAATGAGCCACGATCACTAGATTTTAGGCCACAACCAAAGGTAACAAGGACTTTTTTTTTTTTTTAAGACTTTATTTATTTATTTGATATAGAGAGAGAGATCACAAGCAGGGAGAGCAGCAGGCAGAGAGAGAAGGGGAAGCAGGCTCCCGGCTGAGCAGAGAGCCTGATGCAGACTCGATCCCAGGACCCTGAGATCATGACCTGAGCTGAAGGCAGAGGCTTAACCCACTGAGCCACCCAGGCGCCCCATAAGGACTGGTTTTAAGGCAGTGGTATGCAACCTTAGCCATATATTAAGAATCATCTGTGAAGCTCTTTAAAAAAATATATATATAAATATATATACGTTAAGGCTACTCCTCTCTCAAGCCAGAATCCTTGGTAGTGGAATCCAAGCATCAATAATGTTTTTTAGTCTTCCCTCCTTATTCCACACCAGTGCTTTCTTAGGTGCAGTGAAGTTTAACAACTATATATACATATATGTGTGTGTATTTTTTTTTTTTTTTTAAGATTTTCCTTACCTGAGAGAGCACAAGTAAGCACGATTGGGGGGCGGGAGGGTTTGCAGAGGGAAAGGGAGAAGACTCCCTGCTAAGCAGGGAGCCTACTATGGGCTCCATCCCAAAACCCTAAGATCACCACCTAAGCTGAAGGCAGACGCCCAAATGACTGAGCCACCCAGGTACCTCTAACAACCATTATTTTCAAGTCTCAGAAATATTTAGGGAGCCTATTTCAAGACCCTGACCAATCACTGACATCCAAAAATTAGTCATTATTTTGTTCTAAGTTTAGAAAAAATTTCTGCTATGCCTCAAAAGTGATTTATCTTAAGAAATATATATAATCCATCTTGCTAGTGTAATTCCGATTTCCCATGATTTATTATTACTAAAAAAGCAAAATTTCTCTAGGCATATTCCATAAGATTGTTTGGCATTAATACCATGTCCAGTGTTTTTAGCACCTGGCACACAGTAATGAAAATAGCCATGAATACCATGATAGGTCCCACCTAAAAGAAATTTGTAAGTTATTCAGAAGTTTTAAAAGAGCAATGACATAAGAAAACAGATGGTCACAACCACATAAATCTTGCAATTCTATGAGAAATTAAATTCTAAAATACATCTCTTGACACCTGCTTACCTGCAAGACTATTCTCTATATAAATGATAAAAAGTTGCCATTCACAACTGCCCAAAGTTTCTTATTACTATCTACTCAAAATTTCTATTCAAATCATAAAAGGACAATTAAACCTAAATGCTAGTTGTTCCTTTTATTTCAATTTTGACATATCCTAATGACAAGCACTGTACCTTTACTTCTATTCTATTCTATTTCTTAAGGAGGCTCCACTCCCAGTGTGGAGCCCAACACCGGGCTTGTACACACAATCCTGAGATCAAGACTTGAGCGGAGATTAAAAATCAGATGCTCCACTGACCGAGCTAGCTAAGCGCTCTGATCTTTAATTTTACTTTTAAAACTGTGCAAGTTATAGTGACACATCCTTTGGGAAAAAAAAAAAATGAGCAGCAGATAAAACCAAATGTCCCTTTTGACCATTCTCCACAATCCCATTCCTCTTGGGCAAAATAACCACCAAGAGTATTCTGATGTACATCCTTTTGAAACCCTCTTTACTACAAGTTTTACATATGTATTATATGCTACAAGAACATAATTGTTTTCTTTTGCACTTTTAAACTAGGAACTGTTTTATTCAGCAGCCTGTTTCTCTCTCCAACAGTTCATACTGGAGATCATAATGCACACATATAGACCTGATTAATTTCTTGTGCTGGAGGTAGGTAGTCCCTGAGATTATAATAAGGGGAAGGGAAGGATGAAAAGGTAAAAATGTTGCAATGTATATCCTAGTATTTGCTCCCTGGTATACAGACACTTCCTGAAAGAAGATACCATGAAGAGGACCCATTAGCAGATCTAACAGTTAGCTTCTTTTTATGTTGACATTACAAAATTGTCCTCCAAAAAGGAAGACACTGTATTTATAAACTAAAATAACTTCTGTGTCTGGGAAAGCCCAAACTCTTTCTTCTCTTCCTACCAAATTTCAGACCAGAACAATTATAAATTCTAGAGAAAACAGTATTATGCATCAAATGCCATCAAGTCAATTACTAAGTATATTTTAACAACAAAAGCTCAAGTTTACATAGAATTTAAGTATACTATTTTTTTGGTCTCAACTCAGCTTTCAGAGTTACTACACCAAAATACACTATTCCAGAACAATAATGGTTGCAGATGTCCTCAATGAAGATTATTTTACAGGGGCACCTGGGTGGCTCAGTGGGTTAAGCCTCTGCCTTTGGCTCAGGTCATGACCTCAGGGTCCTGGGATGGAGCCCCATACCAGACTCTCTGCTCGGCGGGGAGCCTGCGAACCCTCTCTCTGACTGCCTCTCTGCCTACTTGTGATCTCTCTCGGTCAAATAAATAAATAAAATCTTAAAAAAAAAAGATTATTTTACAGTCAAGAAAAACTAATTACAGAAAAAGAAATGTCTGAGAAGCTGTGCTATCACAGGAGTCAGGCCCCTTTCAAGTCTCAGAAGCACCTAACGAAACCCCCCTAGGGTCACCTAACGGGACCTCTAATGAGTCATCTTTACGCTTACCTTAGCCAAAAGGGCAAGAATCCATCTAATGAGTGACCTTTAGAACCTGCAGGCCT